TAGCATGTTACACAGCACAGCAAGCACACGTGACAAATTACAGATGAGAGTTTACCTCTCCGCCTACTTCTTCCGTCCAGAAATAGATCAGAAATGCAAGGGAGGCTCTCATCTCCTGATCCCCCCTAAGGTGGCGGTCCATTCTGGCCATTTGTGACCTTTTCTAGAGTCTGACGTGTCCTTTGTGCATCTCAGGACAAAGCCATCACTGATCATCTTATTTCTGCAGCCCTCCCTTCCTATTGCTTCCCTCCTTTCTGTTCCTCCCAACTCTCTTTCCTGTGTTTCCTCGTCCTCATTAGCTCTCTGATAATCTTTCTGATGCCCCCCCAAAATGCTCTTCTCTGGTGATTCCCCTCTTCTGCCTTCTCGTCCCCTTCACCTTCCCCTCTCCTCTCCTGCCGTCTCTGATACTTTAGGAGGAACCCCTCCTTTTCACTTCAGCTGCGACCAGATGCATGCAATCTATTTATTAGTGCCATTTTTACCCTTACCCTTACAGTCTCTTCTGCTTTCCTTCTTCCTCCCGCTCTCATTCCTCAACTTCTTTAGTGTGCTACAAAAGAAGCCGGCTGCTAGGGTATTTTATCAACAATCAACCCCCTCCTTTTTCCTACAGCTGTGATCAGATGCATGCGGTGTATTAATTAGTATATTAGTGACATTTAACCCTTACAGTGACTACCCCCCCCCCAAGCAACGAATCAAAACAGGGACTACAATGGATGGACCACCAAGCCCCCTTTAAATTCCTGGGAATCACAGTTACCTTGACAGGGACAAGCAACTCAATAGCAGCGAGCCTACTCGCAGCAGTCATGAATAAATACAAGGGATGGCAAAAGATATATACATCACTGATGGGTAGGGCGATAGTCATCAATTCGTCGATCTTCTCCATGGTCTGGTACACTGCGTCAATCTGGGACCCACCCACCAGCTTCACGAAGGACTTAAAGAGAAAGGCAGCGGCCTACTTATGGACAGGGGACGCATCCAAGAACCAATTCATATGCAACGTAGCCTGGAAATATGTAACCAACCCAATAGAGGAAGGAGGGATTAGCCTCATAGATCCCGCAACGGAATACAAAGCTCTCCAGACAAAGTGGATCTTAAGGCTGTTGTTGAAAGTGGAACTACCATGGCAAGAAATGTCCCTTTACCAATTAAGAAACCTGCTTCCCTTTAAAGCACATGATAGCATAGAAGGCCATGCATGGATCATGAACAGATACTGGACACCCAGAAGAGAAGGAGGCAGACCTAGGCAAAGGAACCAGCTACCGAACTCTGATCCACCAAGCAGCCACTGGGCAAAACTGATAGCAGCATGGAGGGAGGCTTTCCCACAAAGAAGGAGAAGTCCAAGAACAAAAGAAGAAATTTTGAGACAACCACTGTTTGGGAATGACCTCTTGAAGGATCAAAATGGTAGGGCATGGTCCCTCAAGGCGAGGGGGAAGAGATGGAGGCATATGGAAGATCGAACACATATGGGATGAAGGTAACAGCAAGTGGAAATCAGAGGGAGACCTAAGAACTAAACTAAGAGGCCATCACAATTTACAGCAAAACCTAGAGGAATTGATAGACAGTATCCCAATAGCTCGGAGGTCAACGCTAAAAAGAAATATAGTTTGGAAGAAAGGTGACTGGTCAACGTTGAAGACGCAAGAAACACCCTCAGTAGCTCTTCGTTTCATAAGATACGAGGGAACGGATAGATGCATAGCCAAATTCGAAGTAAATGAGTTGGAGAACACAAACAAAGCAATAGTGGAGGTCAGAAAAGACGCCCTAATCAACCTAGACTTTGCCCTACAAGACTTGAGGAAAGTCAGAGAACTTAAAAACGAACAAAAACGACCAAGGAAAGGAAGAAAGAAGACAGAACCCCCCATCTATTTGTTCAGACCAGATAAGGACATATCAGAATTAGAAGTCGACCCCAACGAGTGGGGCTGGTATCAGAACAGGGGGAGAGGAAGGGCCAAAAAGTGGATCCCGCTGCACGAATACACAGTAAAAAGGGGGTATAAGATAAGACGCAAACTAGAAAACCCACAACCGATCATAGCGGCAAGGTGGGAAAAAAACCTCCAAATCGACCCCGCTTTCTGGCAAACAATTCCATGGTCCTACTATGCAACGATCAGACCTCAAAAAGTGAGAAGCTTACAATGGTTGATAATTTACATGGCAGTCCCCACCAACGAATGGTTCGAAACAAGGAGGAGAAAGGAGGACAGAACAGAATACTCAGCACACTGCCAAATGTGCCAAGAACAGGTAGCGGAAACGCTAACCCACTGCCCACTGGAATGCCAACATGCCAAAGCACTCTGGCTCAAGTGCAAAAAAGCTTGGTCCAACCTATCGAATAATGAATTCCCGACAGACCAATTCCTCCTACTAACAGCAATAGACAAAGGAAGCTTAATCCCTGAGGAGGATAAAGAGATCACCGAATTACTGCGAAGAACAACCCTGTGGGTAATTTGGAGAGCCAGATGTGGAAACACAATAGGAAAAAAGAAGATAACGGCAAATGAATCATGGGAAGAGGCAAAGGAAATGGTAGAAACAGGGGTGAGAGTGGAATGGAAGCGAACCCTTAGGAGAATGGACAAAGAAATAGATGACCAGAAGAGGACCAAAATACAGAAAGAATTTGAACAGCAATGGCTGAAGGAGGGGCTATTGGCAAGGATAAACGGAAAAACTCTCCAATTCRYRAACTGGTGGGATCCGGGCAGCCCAACAACAAGTCAGAATAGCACAAGCGCAATGGACTTAGACTGATAAGAAAGGAAAACTCAGAGGAGGAACTAGCRCAACAATAGTAAAGAGGAGGGTAAGAGGAATAAGAACTAGGGACACGAATAAGCAAAAAACCAAGGACAGCACTTCCAAACGGAGGATCAGAACAGATCAAAAACCAAAACAGAACAGAGGGGGATAGTCCAAAAAGGAAACAATAGCAATACCAACCCGCCATGAAAGAAAGAGAACATACAACATAAGGGACTCTAAGCTCAAGCATATTAACAACACCCAGCAGACACCTCACTACACCCCCCAAACCAACCGCCTACACGCATACTAACCACACCAAGCCAAGACACCAAGGACAACCCACACACTGCACCCCCACAAGCCTCAGAAATTCGCAACTCCAACCAAATCCGTCCCACCCAACAGGGACGCAGCCCCACCCTTACCACTTTTACCCTCCCTCTCCCTCCCCAAGCCTACAGCCCAAGCACACCGACCCAGAATCCAAAACCTTCACCACTACACAAACTACCTCAGACACTGCCCCCCCCACCTAAACTACCCCGCCAAGCAACCATAGGCATGCTCAACAAAGTCAACCCAAAAAGTCGGACAAAGACAGACCATAAAAACACACAACAGCCAGCAAGGGTTTAGGGTTTTAGATTGAGGGTTCAGGTTTCAGGCTAGGCAAGAACATAACACATAGGGACTAGGATGCCAGAGAATTAAACAGATTCATAGACTCTTCAGACCGCTCTAGCATGACACAACAATCCGACAGCACCACAGCAGAGAGGAGCGGGACTGGGTTCAGGCAGGAGGACATCAGCCAGGCAGAGCAAATAGCATAGGCTAAACCAGGCAGGGGTGAGGGGTGGTACATCCTTCCTCAGAGAAGTAATCAATGCCGTCCACTCGGACCTCCTAACCATAATGGGGAGGAGCGTGCGTGAGTCATCCATGTTTTCCCATATTGACTTGCCGGGGGAATAGGAACCGGACTGTCGCTCCCCAGAATGGCAGGAGCCAGAACCAAAAGGTTCTGAGTTTTCTGAAAAAAAAAAAACAAAAAAAAAACTTACAGTGACTGGCAAACAGACAGAAGGTGACTCGTGCTCAAAGGGACAGGAACTCATGGACAAACCTATGGTATCTACCGTCTTCCCCCCGAAGACAACGTACCCTCCTTAGGAGTGTATCAGGCTGGAAAGATAGCTTGAATACATTCATGTTGAGGGTGCATTGTTTTCGGGGAAGACAATAGTCACTAACTGTGGAATTACCAACAATGACTGAAGGGAATACCGACGGTGACTGCGCAATTACCGCCGGTGAGTAGATATTTTGCAACCCCCTGTGACCTCGTCTGATCTTGCATTCTATATCGCATACACATGTGACATATCCCATTCCTTTTTTTAATAACGAGGACGAAACTGCCCAAAATTTGGGAAAAAAAAGAAGAACAAAAAGACAGTTGCACCACCAAAGTGAACTCTAGGCTTATCCATTGGCTACTGTGGCACTGAAAGAAAGGCGCTGTCTGCGCCAACTCTGCAGCACAGAAGCCATCTGTTCTTAGATAGCCATCTTTGTTACTATTTTAGCAGATCCGTGTTACTTCCGACGCAAACCCAAGAACACTTTGATAAAAATTTCAACAACAAAAGTTTCCCTGTGTGTAATGCAGTAAACACATTATTACCTATCATGAGGTTGAATCAGGTTCAGCAATCTGTACGCGACAACAACTGGCTATTGAAATGAGAGTAGCTGAGTTGACAGTGACTCCCCTCTCTCTCTCTTTATCGTTCAATTTGCTCTTTCCTTCATCCCTCTTTTGCTTTCTCCCTCCCTCCCTCCCTCCCTCCCTCCCTCCCTCCCTCCATCCATCCATCCATCCATCCATGCAACAATGCACACATCCATTCACCCAGCTATCTATTTAACTTCTCTCTCACCCCTCCCTCCCTCCGTCCCTCCCTACCTACCTCCCTCCCTCCCTCCCTCCCTCCCTCCCTCCATCCATCCATCCATCCAACAAACACCCATCCAGTCATGCAACAACGCACCAATCAAATCACCCAGCTGCAGGGTTGCATCCCTGCTGGCCGCCGACCCTGACCGCCGACCGTATTGCAGCCGACCAGTAGGGCCGACCGGTCCGCGGTCTGCCGACCAGTCAGAAAACAACCATCCACTGATTTTTTTTCAAATCTGAGTTGAGGGTTGTACTGCGCTCGCTGAGTACAGCCCAAATCCGCTGACAAACTTTTGGGG